CAGAGACCTTCTGAGGGTCCATTGCGACCCCCGTGGTGGAGATAATCAGACCCAGAAATGTAACGCTAGCCTGTTCAAAGCAACATTTCTCTGCTTTAGCGTACAACCCGTGCTGCCGCAGCCGCCCCAAACACCTTTGTTACATGTACCCTGTGCTCCCCCAGGGAGGATGAAAAAATCAAAATGTCGTCTAAGTAGACGATGACAAAGATGTCCAGGAAGTCCCTAAAGATGTCGTTTACAAAGTGCTGGAAGGTGGCCGGCGCATTGCACAACCCGAAAGGCATGACCAGGTACTCGAAATGGCCGAAACGGGTGCGGAAGACCGTCTTCCACTCATCCCCCTCCCTTATGCAAACCAAATTGTAGGCTCCCCTTAAGTCCAGCTTGGTAAATACTACTGCAGCTTTTAAGCTCTGGAATAATTCGGGTACCAGTGGTAGTGGGTAACGATTTTTAATGGTGACCCTATTCAGCTCCCGATAGTCAATACATGGCCTCAAAGTCTTGTCCTTCTTTTCTACAAAGAAGATCCCCGCACCTGCTGGGGGAGTGGAGGGACGGATGAATCCCTTTCGGAGGCTGTCCTCAATATAATCCTTCAGGGCCCTTAATTCTAGCTCAGAAAGGGGAAAGATTCGCCCGAAAGGAATTTCAGAACCGGGTAACAGGTCAATAGGACAGTCATATGGGCGGTGGGGGGGTAGAGCATCAGCTCCCCGTTCACTAAACACATCAAGAAACTTATGATAGGCTGCAGGAATCACTTGTCTCAGGCTGTCATCCCCTTCAGAGCACAGGAGGACCTGGGGGACCTCCGGGCCCGAAATTCGACACAGTTCCCGACAGTATGGGGAAGGGAACGAGACAACCCCAGTTTCCCAGTCAATTTGGGGGTTATGGGCCCGCAACCAAGGGAGCCCCAGAATGACTGGGAAAAGGGGTGATGCAATAGCATCCAGGCGGAGGAGTTCCCGGTGCTGACCGGCAATGGAAGTCACAATGGAAGGGGTCTCCTGGTTAACCACCCCTGACTTTTATCCGGGAACCATCAGCCAAAAGATGTGAAACCCCTTCTCCTTTGGGCGGAGGGGGATACCCTGCTGGTGAGCAAAATTGATATCCACAAAACAGCTGCATGCCCCCGAATCAACTATGGCCGTCACCTCCACGGTCCTTTCTGAAAGCTGAAAGGAGAGGGGCACAACTAAGTATTGGGACGGATTCACATTGCCAATAGATAAAGAAGATGAGGTGAACTTACTCAGTTTCTGCGGGCAGGAACGTACCATGTGACCAGCTTCGCCGCAGTACAGACACAGATTCTGGGAGCGTCTGCGCTGGCGTTCCTCAGGCGATAGTTTAGGCCGTGCCAGGCCTAACTGCATGGGTTCGGGAGCATCTTCAGATGGCAGGTTCTGGAAGTTTGGCCTAGTATGTTGACTGGATCCTTGGAATGACCCCCAGGTATTTCCGCGACCCTGACCAGACCTCTCCAATCTGCGCTCCCGTAGCCTACGGTCAATTTTAATGGTGAGTGCAATCAAGTCCTCTAATGTCTCGGGCACCTCCACCCGGGCGAGCTCAACTTTCAGAGTCTCAGAAAGGCCCATACGGAACTGGTGCAAAAGTGCGAACTCGTTCCAACGAGTGTCACCCATCCAGTGCCTAAAGTCAGAGGCGTATTCCTCAGCCGCCCGCCCGCCGACCTTGTCGGAGTGTGTATAATGTGGCCTCGGCCAAGGCCGCCCGTTGTGGGTCATCGTATAAGATGGCCATAGCGTTAAAGAAGCTGTCAACCGTAACCAGATGAGGATCATTGTTTCCCCTTAGTCGGTGGGCCCAGTCTTGGGGTTCACCCTGCAACAGGGAGAGAAAAACCCCACTTTCACCGATTCTGTCAAAAAGGTCCGTGGCTGCAGTTCAAAATAGAGCAGACGGGAGTCACGGAATGACCGAAAGCGTGTGCGATCCCCGTGGAAGCGCTCGGGTAAGGGTACTCGGGGTTCCGCCATAGGGAGTGATGTGGAAGGCCCAGGAGCCGGCTCGTGGCCTGCTGCGACCGGCGGTGCAGGAGCCGGGGCCTGAGAAACAGGAGCAGATATGGTGCAGGCCTGAAATCGATTCTCGATCTGCAGACATCTGTCCTGTAATGTGTTTACTGCTTGCGTCAGGGTAGCCAGGTGCCTGCAAACCTCCTCCAACGGGGAGGGTCCTCCTCGAGGCTCAGTCATGGCCTTCTGGTACTGTGAGGGACCGCCGAGCGACACCACTAGCACTCCACTGGTCAGGCGTGCCCAGAGCGCGGAGTCTAAGCCCCAGGGTACTTGTTCACCAGGGCCCCTGATGGTGGGGATGGACTTGTAGTACCCCGAGACCAGGTCGCCACTACTGAGCACACCTGTCAGTGGTAGTGGCCAGGGGCTCCAACCAGGGAGAGCCAGATGTGAGGAGGTCGGGTGACCCCGATGGGATGGATGGCTGAGTAAGTGCGTAGTCAGACAGGCCGAGTCGGTAACGTAGAGGACGGTAGGGTACAAGGGAGCAGGCAGAGAGTCGTCGGGTCACACGCCAGGTCAGCAACAGGAGGTCAGATCTAATGAGGGGCATCCAGGGAGAGAGGTCAGGCAAAGCAAGGGTCTGGGCAGGAGAAATCAGCAGGTCAAGAACAATCCGGGTCAATAAACTTACAAGGCACAGGTACAGAATCACAGGAAGCAGGTAAGACCAGAAGGCAACGAAATGACAGCTCAGGGACCTTTAAATATCCCGCCCTGCGCTGCCATTGGTGCCCAGCGGGTGGCCGCGGCTTCTACTGCGCATGCGCGAACTCGAACGCCGCCGCGGCCGGCCCGGACCTAGTGCCCGTGTACAGGGCGGAGCAGTGCGCCTGCGCCGGGACCATCGCGGCAGGGATCGAGAAGATCCCTGACATTGCCCCCCCCTACGGGCAACCTCCGGATGCCCACCCGATCTCTCCACCGGGTGATCACAAAGAAACCTCCGGACAAGTCTAGGTGCATGGACATTATGGGCTGGTCCCCCGAATTGTCCTCAGGGCCGTAGCCCTTCCACTTGATGAGAAATTGGGTCTGGCCCCCCCTTCGTCGGCACTTCAGGATTGCCTCCACCTCGAATTCTTCTTCCTCTTCAACCGTTACGGCCTCCGGGGGCCTGGATTCCCGTTCCGGGAAGGCATCAGGGACTACCGGCTTCAACAGGGACACGTGGAAGACAGGGTGGATCTGCGCTGCCATTGGTGCCCAGCGGGCGGCTTCTACTGCGCATGCGCGAACTCGAACACCGCGGCCGGCCCAGACCTAGTGCCCGTGTACAGGGCGGAGCAGTGCGCCTGCGCCGGGACCATCGCGGCAGGGATCGAGGAGATCCCTGACACCTTTATAGAATTTTTTTTTAAACAAATGTCATATTAAAGCTGAATTTTATATTGGTTCATCTAGGACCAATGTGTATTCTGTATATGCCATACTGGGGGGATCCTTGTGGAAGCTGGAAATCACTGCTGCAGGCAAGGCACTGCTACCACACTGGGTATTGCTAGCTTCTGGGTCCCATGGCAAGCAGCTTTCCTGCTTCTTACTGAACACAGGAGGTTGCCTGCTTGGGAGGGGCACCATTTACAGAACACATTGCATTTTCTCAATGAATGCAAAGTGTTCTCTGATTGGATGAGGTTCATCTCTCTACTTCGTCCAGTAAAAGAATGCTTTGCAGAAGACTTAAATAATTTCCTGAATGGCACCTGTGCCAAGCAAGTCGTGGTCACAATGCAGCAGGGTAGATGCGTAGCACATGACGTTGAAGTGAACGGAGATCACAGTTGTAGCAGAGCCTACTACAATGATTTACAGCATCCACTGGAAACCACAACATACAATATATTGGAAAATGTATATTATATAGGGTGCGCTTGTTGGAGCCCAACCTCTGTAGCTGTAAGATAAAGGTGCCAGATGGATATCAGGGATGGATGGGAGCAATAACACTGAGGCAGCTCTTCTTAGAGTGGAAGCAAGGCTTTATTGCAGTAACAAGAAAAAGAGAGGAAGGCGCCTCTAAGTGCAGTATAGATAATTAGTGAACAACAGATGAATTGCACTTACAAGATACATAGTTAAAAAGACTCATCGTATGGTGTGTTAAGATCCAGGTGAGACACTGTGTATCAAGGTAAGGCATGGAGAGCAGCGTCAGATGTAGGAGGTAAAGGCAGTAACGCATTTCGGAGCATGCTCAGTAGGCTCCTTCTTCAGACTGCTCTGAAACGCATTACCTCCCCCTTCACCTCCTACATCCGGCGCTGCTCTCCAAGCCTCACCTTGATAAACAGGCACATCCTAGTTTATACTTCCTGATCCTACGAACTAAGCTGCTGCTAGACGGCTGGATGTCTCACCTGGATCTTAACACAACACACAATGAGTCTAACTATTTATCTTGTAAGTTCAATTCATATATTGTTCACTAATAAATTGTCTATACTGCACTTAGAGGTGCCTTCCTCTCTTTTTCATACAGTATATTGGACCTACGGTATGTAACTATGTAAAAATTCCCACATCTGAACTTTAGCTTTGTAAGTGAAGGCTCTACAGCAGCGGTCATTAAATGGTGAACCGCGGTCCAAACACGGACTGCGCAATGCTCCTATCTGAGCCATCAGCCCTCCAGTCTAAAATGCCAGATCCCTGCCACTCAGCAGTCCTTAGTTGCTGGGACCGCGTGCACTGTGATGATGGGGGAACCTTATGTAATGAGGCACGCTGATGGGGACAACTGATGTAAGGACGCACACTGATGGGAGACACACCAGACCAGATGTATGGGGGCCTTCCGTGGCAGAAACCTGATGTAAGTGGGTACTCTGATGGGGGACACCTGATGTAAGGGGGCACACTGATGGGAGACAACAGACCAGATGTATGGGGGCCTTCCGCTGCCGAAACCTGATGTAAGTGGGCACTCTGATGGGGACACCTGATGTAAGGGTGCACTCTGATGGAAATACCTGATGTAAGGTTGCACTTTGATGGGGACACCTGAAGTAAAGGGGCATTCTGATGGGGACAACTGATGTAAAGGGGCACTCTGATGGGTACACCTAATGTGAAGGAGCACTCTGATGGCATGACCTAATGTAAGGGGTCACTGTGATGGGGGAACCTTATATAATGGGGCACTCTGATGGGGACAAATGATGTAAGGAGACATACTGATGGAAGACACCAAATGTAAATGGACACTCTGATGGGGACACTTGATGTTAGGGGGCACTCTGACAGGATTACCTGTTGTAAGGCGGCTTTCTGAAGGGAACACATTACTTAAGGGGGCACTCTGATGGGGACACCTGATATGAGTTGTTACAAATTGTACATTTCTCATTTTGTTATAGACATACGGTGACTACAATCTTTCTGAGTCATAACACAAACTTGAAATTCAGACCTCGATCAGAAGAAAATTTTAGTTACCGTACCACCTTGAACTTTAATTCAATACCCCTGCTCTACAGATTCAAATTGTGGTTATGTTCTGGAAAATTTCAAATACTGACATTCTTTAAAAAGGACCATTAGAAGCTCAAGCAATATTCCTAATTTAAACCTTAATTCTTACATAACTTAATTTACTAGTAAGCAAATTCTTACTTACTAATTCTGGACAATTACTAAACAGCAATAGGAACATAAAATATCCAGGTTCAATTACTGTGATTTTGCCTTTTCTTAAAACAATACAAACAACCACCCTACACAACCTCAGGACACACAAAATATTTCAGTCATCTTGGTTGAAAAAAATGCAGTAATCCTGGTTGAAAACATGGGGGAGATTTACTAAAAACTGTTGCACACAGAAGCTGGTGCAGTTGTGCATAGTAACCAATCAGTTTCTAACTTCAGCTTGTTCAGTTAAGCTTTGACAATAAAACATAGAAGCTGATTGGTTACTATGCAAAGATACACCAGATACTGTGTGCAACAGTTTTAGCAAGTCTCCCCCCCATATTTTTGTCCTTGAAGATTATTTAAGGAACATGTTGTATTTCATGTAACAGTTGATACATTAGGTATCTGCTAAAATAGGATAATTTATCTCAGGGTTTTGCAATGAATGACTGTCATCAAATGCAGAGATCGGTTAAAGTGACACTAAACGAATATATTCAATAATGTATTCTTAACTCAATAAACTACATTCCATTGCTCTCACCCAATTTTCTATTAAAGGTTAGCTATGATTATTCCCTATGGTCTCACTGTATTTTGGAAGGTAGCCAACCTCTCTTGCTCACTCATGAGGTGGACTATGGACAATGGACTATGGGATTTGTAGAGCAGTGCACAATGGAAATTCGAGATTCAAATGAAATGGCCGAGATTCGTTCCATCTATGGGCAGGCTGGTTGTACTGAAGTCAGTCCATCGATCGACTTTAAAACAGCCAGCCTGTTGGATTTTTTGCATGTGATCAAAGGATTCCCCCATCAACACAGTCAGTCAGGAAAGAAAATTGCATCATCTATGGCTTGATTTACAGAGTATGCAGTCTTATTAAACAGCAAGAGATATAAAAGATGACCTTGTTAGGGTATATAAATGGTCAGATACCAGAAAAAATAGCAGATGGAGTCACATGACATACATAACATAGGGCAGCACAGTGGCTAAATGGTTAGCACTTCGCCTGGCAGCACTAGGGTAGTTGGTTTGAATCCCAGCCATGGCACCACCTGCCTGGAGTTTGCATGTTCTTCCTGTGCCTGCATGGGTTTCCTCTGGGTACACCGGTTTCCTCCCACACTCCAAAGAATTGCTGGTAGGTTAATTGGATCCTGTCTAAATAGGCCCTAGTATATGAATGTAAGTTAGGGACCTTAGATTGTACACCCCTTGAGGGTTAGGGACCGATGTGAATGTACAATATATATGTGTAAAGCACTTTGTAAATTGATGGCGCTATACAAGTACCTGAAATAAATAAATAATAACAATTACCAGTGAGCCTTACTGCTTCAGGGAGATCATTGTCAAGTGCAAAAATAAATTCAGTGGAAACCAACTTTTCATATTTTATGAAGGGATCAGGGAAAGCACAAAGGACTAGATGAGGAAAAGTGAGGATCTAATTAACAACCAAACAGGTGGCTAAGGAACAATGGGGACAACAACAACAGTTAACAAATACCAAGTTTCACCCTGAATAAACATCAATGAGATTCAAAGAAAAGTTTAGATTTTCAGAATTTAGAAAATATTTTGAGAAAGTGGTCACAAATCAAACCTGGGAAAATTTACTCATCCCGAATATGGAACAGGCTGAAGAAGATTCAATGTACTCATATAACTGGCTTATTTTTTTGTACAAAATGATTGCTTACAACTGATACACTAGCAGCAGATACAAATTGGCAGTTCAAGGCAATAGTCAACCATCCAGTAAGTTATATTTGCACATACAATGCAGATTGACAAAGTATGATTGCTAGAGCTTAGCATACATTTCTACAAAAAGAAATATTAGTGTAAAATCATCAACCTTGTACAATATAAAGACCTGCACGAATCATGAAATACTGTATATATATTTTTTAGTTTGTGCATCTAATATTAATCACTCTGTCCACTTATAATTTGTCATACAATTTCTGTTTGGATACACAAAGCAGCTATTTGTTCAGAGGAAGGTTCAACGGAAGAGCTTTTTTGTAGGTGGATTAGGTCTGCCCCTTGAATTGAACAGTGGAAATGCTGTTTATATTAACTGCAGTTCAAACATGAACCTGACAGCAGCCATTATCTTTTTTTGTTCAGCACCTAAATAATAGAGCACAAGAAACAGACCATGAATATAACATAACATGAATATTATGCTTGTATTCTTTATTGAATTCATATATTTATAAATATTGGGGGCCAATAATATTTTACCAGTGCCCTCACAACATATAGTTATAAATTAGAATCTGGTAAATAAATTCACACTGTTAATGAACAATTTCTATCCAGTCTGTTTGAATTACTGGTATCCACAGTGTAGCAAGCCATTTTCTGAATTATTTAATAAAACAGTACAAAGAGTTGTTACAACAATGATGGTTACCGTTTACTGTAGTTATGGTTCACTGCACTATGCACTTTTATTATTATTATTATACAATATGTATAAAGCGCCGATAGTTCGCTCAGCGCTGTATATTACAAAGGGGGACAGAACATGTGACAGAACAATAACAATACAATGCAAAACATGAGGGGATTGAGGGCCCTGCTCTTTCGAGCTTACAATCTAGGAGGGAGGGGATGGTGGCACAGGAGGAGATAGCTGTGGGGGATGGAGTGGTAGGAAGAGTGGAGGAGATCGGCAAGTTAGCAGGAAGTGGGGTAGGCTTCCCTGAAGAGATGGGTTTTCAGGGTGCGCCTAAAGGAGAGGAGAGTAGGTGATAATCTGATGGGTTGGGGCAGGGAGTTCCAGAGGATGGGTGACACCCTGGAGAAGTCCTGGAGGCGGGCATGGGAGGAGGAGACCAGGGAACTAGAGAGAAGGAGGTCTTGTGAAGAGCGGAGTGTGCGTGCTGGGTGGTACTTGGATATTAGGTCAGTGATGTAGTTCGGGGCAGTGTGGTGGACGTCTTTGTACGTCAGTGTTAGGATTTTGAATTTGATCCGTTGCGCAATCGGAAGCCAGTGGAGGGATTGGCAGAGGGGGGTGGCGGAGATGGAGCCGTTGGAAAGGTGAATGAGTCTGGCTGCCGTATTCAGGATCGACTGAAGCGGGGCTACCCAGCGGCGAGGCAGGCCAGTAAGGAGGGAGTTGCAGTAATCGAGTCGTGATATGATGTGGGAGTGGATGAGCTGTTTAGTGGTTTCTGGGGTTAGGAACGTGCGGATTTTGGCGATGTTGCAGAGGTGGAGTCTGCACGAGCTTGTTAAAGATTGGACTTGGGGCTGGAAGGATAGGTTGGAGTCCAGAATGACACCAAGTACTCTGGCCTGCGGGGCGGGTTTGATGGTGGTGTTGTTGGACATGATGGAGAAGTCAATGGGGGGTGGTGTCCGGGCTGGGGGGAAGACAAGAAACTCGGTCTTGGAAAGGTTCAGTTTAAGGAAGTGGAGCGACATCCAGTCAGATATGTCGCTCAGTAGGTGTGTGATTCAGGCAGAGACTGAGGGGGTGAGGTGGGGGGTTGAGAGATAGATTTGTGTGTCATCGGCATATAGGTGGTAGTTGAAGCCGTGAGAGTGTATGAGTTGGCCAAGGGAGGAGGTGTAGATGGAGAAGAGAAGGGGCCCGAGGACGGAGCCTTGAGGGACCCCAACAGAGAGGGGGAGTGAGGGGGAGGTGGTAGCATTATAGGTAACGCTGAAAGAGCGTTGTGACAGGTAGGATGAGAGCCAGGAGAGAGCAGAATCTCTGAGGCCGAGGGAGTGTAGTTTTTTTGAGGAGGAGGGGGTGGTCGACTGTGTCGAAGGCCACAGAGAGGTCAAGGAGTAGGAGCACTGAATAGTGTCCATTAGCTTTGGCGGTTAGCAGGTCGTTGGAGAGTTTGAGTAAGGCAGTTTCGATGGAGTGTAAGGGACGGAAGCCGGACTGTAGGGGGTCGAGGAGGTTGTTGTCGTTGAGGTGAGAGCTTAGGCGGGTGTAGACTAGGCACTCAAGGAGTTTGGATGTAAATGGTAGCAGGGAGATGGGTCTGAGGTTGTTTGGGTCATTGGGGTCCAGGGAGGGCTTTTTAAGTATGGGGGTGATGTGTGCATGTTTCAGAGAGGGGAGGGGAAAGTGCAGGAGGAGAGGGGAGAGATTAAAGATGTGGGTGAGGGAGCGTAGGATGGAGGGGGAGGGAAGTCGTAGGAGTTGTGAGGGGATAGGGTCGAGGGGGCAGGTGGTGAGGCGGGCATCAGAGAGGATCTTGGAGACTTCCTCGATGTTAGTAAGGTCAAAGGTGTGAAGTGTTGGGGGGGCTTCAGTATGAGGAATGAAGGGTGGGGTGGAAGTGGAGGTCAGAGCAGTGGTGGGGCCGTGGGAGAGGGATGATGAGGGGGTAGCTGAGTGAGGGGGAACGGGGTTGGAGGGAGTTTGAGCAGCGACAAAGTCCCTGCGGGTTATGTCGAGGGAGAGGGGGGATGAGGGGGTAGCTGTGTGAGAGGGGACAGGTTGAGAGGGCGTGTGAGTTGCGGCGATGTCCTTGCGAATTGTGTCAATCTTGTTTTTGAAGTGATTGTCAATCTGAAGGGCAGTGAGTGAGGTGCTGGGTGGAGGTGGGGGGTGGCGAGAGTAGAGAGTTGAAGGTGGAGAAGAGTCGGCGAGGATTGGAGGAGAGGGCCTTGATGAGGGTCAGGAAGTAGGCTTGTTTGGCTGTGTGG